GAATATCAAAGAGAGGGCCCCGTACCGATCTCATCGAACCAAATATGAGGATTGGCTCCGTTTGACTCTCCGATATTTCTTTTCTCTCTTTTTTATTTATGTATTTTTTTTTTATTTTTATTATATTGTTTCTTACAATCTGCAGATTTTTGAGACAAGAAATTGCATCCTTACTTTGTTTTACATCATTGAAAATTGCGATTTCAGGCCCAGTACTTGATCTTTGAGAAGATGCGGGAGGAAGGATATGTCGCCGGCACTGAAGACGTTAGGCTAACCATTGAGATTCTTGTGCCCAGCACCCAGGTCGGTCGTATCATCGGCAAAGGCGGTCAAAACGTTAGAGAATTGCAACGCGTGACTGGCAGCGTCATTAAACTGTCGGAGCAACAAGCTACTCCTCCTTCAGCTGAGGAAGAGACCACCGTCCATATCATTGGCCCCTTCTTCTCCGTTCAGGTAAAACAAGCGCGCGTTTTTTCAAGTAATTTTTAGTATAAAATATTCTTTTTACTTAAATAATTGATTTTGCAGTCGGCCCAGAGAAGAATCCGTGCCATGGTCCTGCAATCAGGCACGCCTGGCGGAACTGGCGGAACTGGCTCACGTGCCGGACGCGGTAGCAGCCAGGAAGGCGCCTCCCGTTCTAAGAGAGACGGCAGCGCCACTTCTCAAAGCGGTGTGACGTCGCAGCCCAGCTCCCAGCAGCAATCGAGCGGTTCACCATCTAGCCAGCAGCAGCAGCCGCCACAATCGCCGCAAAGCCAGTAACGTCGATGACATCCACATTGACGCGGACCGACGCCTATCCGTTTTATTCGCCGGAGTGGCCTCGTCATCGCTTTGACATTCTCTCTCGTCGAGAGGCCGAGCTTATCACGACCACCTCCTCCTCTCGCGAGGCATGAAATCCTCCCCGGCGGGGGAGAGCTTTGAACGCTTGACGCGCAGATTGTGACGGGAAGACGCGCTCTAAGAGTTAACTCGACATCATCTCGAGATTCAGCAGCGATTTTCGCGAGCTTTGACTCTGCAAATTAATTCTCAAAAATTTCGGTTTTTTGCGAGCGCGATTTGAGAGTTACAATACAAGGTAACCGAAATTTTCTGAAAATTAAATTGTAGGGCCTGGCGAGTTCGGTGGAGAGTTAATTCTGAGAATTCGCGAACAAGGATTCCAATTTCGAAGAATCCAAAACTCAATTGTAAATGTCAGTCAACGAGGCTTTCCGTTCGGTTCGGACACGCGCGTCTATTGTGATCGACCTCGACCTTAATCGTGAGCGAACAATGTTATCTTCCGCGTTACCTTCTGGACGTCCCGTCGCTAACGCAAATGTTGTACGAAATCGATTCGCATTGGCGAAGTTCGGCTGGAAATCGCGATTTTCCGGTCGCGACTCCGACGCAAAATCTGGAATGGTAACGAAGGATCGAGCGAAAACGAAAGCGTACTCTCTGCAACCGAACGGAAGAAAGCCAAAGCGTACTAATCTAAACTGGTTATGTCCAGTCAGATACACTGCCGGTACTCGATCGTTCTCGTTGACAAGGAATTATCGTGTCGTTTTCCCCTTCGCTCTACGCGTCGCGTCTACATCCCGCGACAACGACAAAGCGACACGTGCAACCGCGCACGACCCAATTTCGCAGCGCTATAACGAAACCACCGCCGCCGATGAAATAGGATACGACGATATGAGAGAATAAACTGATAAGGCAAAAAAAAAAATAGAAAAAAAGAGAAAAACACACACAACCTTATTACCTCATTGCATTACGGTTAAAGATTTAATACGATAGAGGAAAGTGAAACGTGTGGGAGAAAGGATAAACCGATTAATCTAAAAAAAAAGAAGTCTATGTAATATTAAAGTTATTAATAATATACAGAGAGAGAAGTTAAGTGACAATTACATATTACGTTTATACCTGTTATTACATACTACTACTGCAACTATTACTATTATTACTACATACTACTATTATATCGCTATATACTATTTACTTACTTCTTAACTAGTACTACAAGGGCGTGTTCGGAAACATCACCCGTGTACACACGAGCATCGTTCTATCTTTGTTATGTAGCAAAAGTTGAACGAAGATAGAACGACGCTCGTGTTCACACGGGTGATGTTTCCGAACGCAGCCCAGGAGGAAAGCGGTTTTTCTTAAAAAAACAAAAGCAAACAAAAACGCAACCTAGATACACAGTTTTTTATATATCACAATCCAGAGACATTAAATTGATAATACGAGACTTAAAATAATATGGAAACCTGTGAACACCGTGGAACAGCGACTCGTTCCCGGTCGTAGACATAATAAGCCAGGATGCCTCAGGAGGAGAAAAGAAAAAGTGAAGTGACCCCCACGCCCCCAACCCGCCCCTCCTCGCACCATGTAATAGTCGTGTACGCTCTATTCACCTCAAGTTCCTCAAGAGCCGCGAGAGTGAGAGAGAGAGAGAAAAAGAGAGAGGGGTCAGATATATGAAGGTGGGAGGGAAGATCGACGAGCGGTCATCAAGATGTCGAGAACAGCGCCGACGAGATATCGAGTCGCTTGGCATGGATGATTAATGGCGATGAAAACAGAAAAAAAAGAACAATCGAAAATATTGAACTAGAGAGAGAGAGAGAGGAAACAAGAGTTCTAACGTGCGGTGCGATACGACCTGGCCGTTTTGTGCCGTATTTTTAAAGAGTGTTACTGAAGAACGTTTTTCTAGCACAAGGAGAGACTGAGAAAGCGACCGTCGATACACACGCGAAGAACAGCAGAAGAAAGGGAAAGAAAGAGAGAAGAGAGCGAAGGAGGGGACATAAGAGGGAGACAAAAAGAAATGATCGACAAAACTTTTCAGGGATTTTTACTTTGTGAATGTAATAATGTGTGAGTGTGCGTGTGTTATATTATTATTCGATAAGTAATAAATTACTGATTAGGAGTTAGATGGCGAGGAGAAAGACGGACGTAAGAAAGACGTAAGGAAAAAAAATTTATGCTTAACCCATAAGAAAGAATTAAGAGGGTATAGAGGAGCGGGAGAGTTTAGAATCGGCGTTTCTTCGCCGATGCTATTCTCACATGCCGCTCGCGTTATGGATGGTATGTCGCCGAGACGAGACGGAGCCTTCGCGCGCCGTTCCGACGAGCCCTGTAATTTCTGCTAAAAATGTGGCTGTTAGAAGAACGCAGAGCCGGGAACCGGAATCGCGAAGCGCGACGATTTCGCATCGATATAGCGACTCGCAGCGTGTACGGGCCATTATTATTCCGCTATATACACAGAGTTGAGAGAGATTCTCTTTGAGGGCATATATTCGGCAAGCCGAAGCGAAAGAGAAGGAGGGATGAATGAAATGTGATATTTCACGTCTATGTCAAAGATTGACAATGTTCTGCGGATGATGTCATACTCTAGTAGCGGTGTATTTGTGGCCGGATACACGTCGCGGCCACTGTATGTGTTTTGAGTTTTGAGGAGATTCCGAAGTGATGTTAAGAGAAAGACAGAGAGAGAGAGAGAGAGAGAGATTCGGACGGACCGACAGGGAAATCAGGCGGGAAGTGCGAGATAAAGAACGCGATGAATTCAAATAAATTCGAGGAAACCGCCTCTCTGCAGAATGGTCGTGTATTAAACATGGCCAAGAAAAATTCAACAAACTCAAACGGACTAACCAATTATGTAATAACCAATTACGGCGCACAGTCTCGCGTCGTTCAGGCTCGATGTGTCGTTATCGATTCGAATATGAGAAAACGTGCGTGTCAGAATTACTCTCTTTTTATCATTCGATCATTTGTCATCTCACTCCGACTTAACTGTTCGACAATTCGAGACTCGTATCTTTTTCATCAATCGAGCTTTTAACGACGCGAAATTGAAGCGGCACCGGCCATATGGAACTCCACAGGATGTGCCCATCGGATCTGATGACACGATGGGCCTCCTGACGGACCCAGCCGGTTTATAAATCTCGGCATTCGGTATGCGTTTAGTACAAAGATACACGAGTTTAAGAATGGATAAGACTAATCGAGTTTTAAGAGAGACGCAGGGTACGGAAGATATAATAGAGAGATGTAATATCGTGTTTAACTGCGTTTTTTTGTTTTTTGTTTTTTTTTTTTTTTATCTCTTTCGAGGAAGGATGAAATTTCGATGAAATGTGTGCCCGCGCGCGCGAATATTATAATAAGATCGAAAATTTTTGCAGCGGGAAGCGAAGACGTGCATTTGGCCCGTCGTATCTTCGATTCTAAATGAAGTCTGATTTCATGATTGGTGTTTAATTTTGCCAGTCTTCCTTTTCTCCGCTGCATCGCGCGACAGATATGCAAGCACAAGCGCACACGAGTAAAAGTATAAGGGCGAAATGAGAGATAGATGGATAGGGGAGAATGAGAAGGTAAAATGAAAGAGGGGAAACACGAGTCTGAGAACGTAGGTTTATTTTTGATACATTGTTGGGGAGACTCCAAGCGAATCTTTCTTTCTCAATATTAATTTTTTTTTTTGTTAGATGTTTTAACAACTTAATAAATTTTAACGATATTAAGGATATGAGAAAATAGCGAGAAAGATTTTTTTTTAATGTAAGATTAAGAGAGCGTGAGAGAGAGGAAAGGCGGAGTAATTCTCACGGGAGAACGCGTATAAATTAACGTTATAGAGGGAGGGTATTAATTAATAGAGGGACGAATCAGGAGGACGCGTTGCGCAGCTTTTTGCACTGCGCTCGCTCGCTCGCTTTGGGAGGGGTGGGAGGGAGGGGGGAGGTTGCATAAAGGAGATTTTTTAGTCGGGTATAAATTTGTATATTATATTTAATAATATATTTCGAAGAAACGGCGGCCGCGGATCCGCTCGGCGAGACCTGTTCCTGGAACCTCGCAGTTTTATGCGAGGAACCTCGGTCATCGTACTCCGTAGAAGAGTACCCTCGCCCGCAGACCCGCACTCCCCGTGGTTATTTATCAAGCGTAAATATTTAAATGATGAGATATAGAGGGGGAGATAGTGAAAGAGAGAGAGAGAGAGAGGGAGAGATTTGTATTAAAGCTTGTAAAGAAAAAAAAATTGCGAAGAAAAAGTGCCAATGAACAACAGAGAATACGCTCGCGTAAAACTAATACAATATAGAGCAATAGATTACAGACGATTAAACAGAATAGAAATGGAGACAATCGGATAAACGAAACAGAGATAAAACAAGAAAGGAAGAAATAGGCAACACAGAGATATGAAAAAAATACAGCGAAAAAGTGGAACGAACCCTCCGTTTATTCTCATGGTCGACGACATCATTTACGCTACTTCGATAATTCATCTATCACGTCTTTGAGTTTTCTTTTTTTCTTTTGGCCCGCACTTCAAAATTTCGTGAATCGATGAGGAGAGAATAGCCCGTACAACGCAGAAGGGAAAAGAAGCAGGACACGCAAAAAGCGAGACACGTGAATCGCCCCTATTGCAGAAATCGCCCCTCGTCACCGGTGAAAGAACCCTTGCGGGGGACCTTGTCGAGCCGGTCTTCGACGGGGGATTATCACCCAACCCGCCCTCTTTTGGAGTATCTCTTTCTAAATTGAGCAAACGAGGGAAACTTTCATTCCGACAGAGAAAACGCGACGTGTTTGTCTTTCTATTTTTTTTTT